AGCTTTGATGTGGTCCCAAAACAGCCTTAAATCAAGAATATCTGTGGTGGAGGTGGGTCTGGGGAAGGGGTGGATAGTTTAGGTTTGTGCTTTGTAATCTTGGTTGGCATCCATGCTTTGTGCCTGCCTTCCCTCTCAGGTGTAGGGCCATGCTTGGCTCTGCTAAAAGTTGCTAAATAGATTGTGGTGAGTGGTGGGGATGAGACCAGGGAACTCTTCTAACCCTTTCTGGAAGCAGTTCTCCGGTCAAAGACAAGTTCTGTCTCAGGAAGATGGCTCCTATCTGTGCCTGGGTGTGGTGAAAATGTGGCCCAGAAGCTTTCTATGGAGCAACAAGTCTAGGCAAAGCCAAGAGCATCTGAACATGTGTCTGAATTCCCAACGTGTAGTCCTCTGCACTCTGTGTGGTTTTCCCATGCAGATAGGGAGAAGTCAGTCTAATTAAAGACTGTGCATTTCTTAGTGACAGGTGCCAAGAGGTTATGATCTGGGTTTCTTGGGTCTGATGTACACTGGGAATAAATGCTTGTAGCTCTTAGCCCTTTTTTGATCAATGAAGCACTTGTTTAATTAATATTTTCCTTTGTATGTAAAGGAGGACTCTAACTCTCCATAGCTGTACATATAACCTTTTTTTTCCTAAAGAGGGGTCAGTCAGTGTGCTATATTTTCATAGTTTTGTCAAAGCAAGAAGTAAATACTTTAGAAATTCCAAAATGGCAGCGGAGTAAGTGGAGGCTACACTGACACTCTCCCAGGACCAAACTGAAAATACAACTAAAATACAGAAAAACCACCCTGAAAAACCAACTGAAGACCAGCTGGAAAGAACACTGATAACCAAGGACGAAAAGTGGATACCACATAGAGACTGGTAGGAAGTGCTGAAGGCATGAAAAGGCTGGCCGGGCTCCCACAGAGAACTCTGGGATCTAAATTCCAATCTGGGCTCCCCTGCCCAGAGCACCAAAACTGAGAACAGTGCCCACATAACATCTGGTTGTGAAAAGCAGCAGGGTTACTGTCTATCTGGGAGACAGCTGGAAATGCAGGCACCATCTTAAAGGGCCAACACAAAATGTTGTGTGCAGTCACTCATAATCACTGCCATTATACACATAGAAAATAACTAGTTCAGTAATTTAAAAACAGGGATTTTCACATCCTTACTATATATAGTCTGCGTGTCAAAACAAATAAACAAAAACCCCTGAAAAATAAAACATGAAAGGTTTTCAGTAACTGTATCATTTATAGTAATTTTTAGTAATGTACACTGTTGTCCTAGAACCATGGGTAAATCAAATAAATAATTATGTCAGTATTCCCAAAACCAAGATTTTCAGTGCAGTTGAAAGAGATCAATAAAATTGATGAGATTATCTGAAAGATTATATATATTTCCTAGCTCTGTCATTAAAAAGGCCTAGAATCAACAATCAATCCAGTAGCAAGTAGTTCATAATGCCCAGATTTTAACCTCTACCATTTCCCAAGGAAATTAGAACTTTTAAAAATGATCAACTACAGGTGTGGAATAAAAAAATGGCACAAAAAAACCCCTGAAAAATAAAACATAAAATGTTTTCAGTAATCATATCATTTGTATTAATTTGTAGTAATACAGACTGTTGTCCTAGAACAGCCGTGGGCAAACTACGGCCCACGGGCCGGATCCGGCCCATTTGAAATGAATAAAACTAAAAAAAAAAAAAAAAGACCGTACCCTTAGAATTTATATTAGTTCACACAAACACTCCATCCATGCTTTTGTTCCGGCCCTCCGGTCCAGTTTAAGAACCCATTGTGGCCCTCGAGTCAAAAAGTTTGCCCACCCCTGTCCTAGAAACTGGAATAACTTGTCAATCAGGAAGAAAAGGAGGTTATTAAGCCTCTATATATGTTAAAAGGATGTGGGAAATCAACACATTGTACACCTTAAATTTACACCATGTTACATGTCAAGAATCTACACTAATAAAAGAGAAAGATGCAAATTGACCATACTTTGCGACACCCACCAGCCAATCAGGAGTGAGTATGCAAATCAACCGAATAAAGATGGCAGGTTAACTTGCATAGGCAGGCGCTGAGAGGCCGGGGGGTAGGGCAGGACACTTGGGTCATTGCCATGGTGACGACACAGACGTTTCGCACTGTCCCAGCCACTCTGGGCCTCTGGGCAGTGTGGGAAGGCGGAAAGGTGGCTCTGGGCCTGAACAAAGGCAGAAAGGTGGCTCTGGCCGGAGCGAAGGCGGTGCCAGCATCCAGGGGAAGGAAGGCCCATTCTTGCACGAATCTTCGTGCATCGGGCCTCTAATATCTTAATAAAGCTGGGGGAGGCGGTGGAGGGAGAAGGACACAGGAGCCACCATGAGGTAGCCTCTAGTGACCAAAGAAGGGATAATTTGAGAATACTGAGAGTAATAATAAAAATGGGTCAAAATACAACAAATATGTTCACATCCATGATTTCATATAATATTATAAAGAAAAAATCAGTTACTTTTATAGAAATTTAAAAACTCATTATTTTTGAAAAGTGGTAAGGGAAAGGAATCAAGCACTTGTCCTGCCTTTATTATAAACTAGAGGCCCAGAGCATGAAATTTGTGGATGGGGTCGGGGGAGGGGGGTGGGCTCCCCTCAGCCCAGCCTGCACCCTCTAATCCGGGACCCCTCAGGGGATGTCAGACTGTTGGTTTAGGCCCGATCCCCGGCAGTCGAACATCCCTCTCACAATCCAGGACTGCTGGCTCCTAACTCCTCACCTGCCTGCCTGCCTGATTGCCCCTAACTGCCTCTGCCTGCCAAATTGATTGCCCCTAACTGCCCCCCCTGCTGGCCTGGTCGCCCCCAACTGGCCCCCTCTGCTGGCCTAGTTGCCCCTAACTGCCTCTGCCTGCCAAATTGATTGCCTCTGCCTGCCAAACTGATTGCCCCTAACTAACCCCGTGCTGGCCTGGTCACCCCCAACTGCCCCTCTCTGTCAGCCTGGTTGCCCCCAACTGCCCCCCTACTGGCCTAGTTGCCTCCAACTGACCCCCCCACCGGCCTGGTTGCCCCATGCAGCCTGCTGGTTGTTAGTTACTGTGATAGCATCCTGGACAATTTGCATATTCCTGTATTATTAATATAGAGCAGTACCTTGAAGTGACCAAATGGTTGATGAAAGGAATTTTCTCTTTACAGAAATATTCCAGATAATAAACTGAGGACTGATAAAGGCACAATATTATAATATTGCAACCTCCAATAAAAAAACTGATCTAAGCAATAATAATTAATTTTGAAAACATCACAGAGAGACATGATATACCCTCTGAAGGAAGTACACAGCCCAAAACAAACAACTTCTACATCTAACTACCAATTTATCATAAGTACAAGAAATAGAGGAACATAGGAAATGATACCAGGGGAATGCAATCATGAATATTCAGGCTATGGAAAGTTCTACAGGAAAAAAACATGGTTCCTTCAACAACAAAAAATGACAAGAAAACAAAGAGTTAGAGAGGAAACCTACAGTTTAAAAGATACTTAAGAGATATAATCAATCACAATGTATGGGCCTTATGTGAATTGAAATTCAAACAGACAAAATGAAAAAAAAGTTGTATAAGACAATCAAGGAGGAGAGAAAGAGAAAAGAACATAACCATGCTGATCAACTGAAAAAAATAAAGAAAAAAAAGACAATCAAGGAAAGTATGGGCACTGAATCTAATAATACAGATGAAATGACACAATGTCTAGGGCATACCTAAGAATATCCAGGATTGCCATTTCATACTTCTTTCTTTGAGTACAAGATTTAAAAAAGTAATTGAAGCTGTTTTGCAAAAACACACAATTCTATAACATTATGTGTATATATGTGTGTGCACGTGCACAAACGCATGCATGCACACACGCACTCACACCAACTTGCTAAATTTGCTGAAATGTTAATGGGCAGACCTATACAAATTTAAGTTTTAGAAAATACTTTGTCTTTAAAAAGCAACCGCTATCATTGAACACAATGTCAAACTATTTTTTAAAATCTCATTAAAAATGTATACCTTTTTCATAATGATCTTTAAAAAAGGTTCCTTAGCCCTGGCTGGTACGTTCAGTGGTTAGAGCACTGGCCCATGGACTGAAAAGTTGAGGGGTTGGATTCTGGTCAAAGGCACCTACCTCAGTTGTAGGTTGGATGCCCGGCCCTGGTCAGGGTGCATGAAGGAGGCTGCCAATAGATGTGTCTCAAATCAATGTTCCTCTCTCTCTCCCCCCATCCCTTCCACTTCTCTCTAAAAATCAATGGAAAAAATACCCACAGGGGAGGATTAACAAAAAAATAAAATAAAAAAAGGTTCCTTAAAACCAAGAGTTTGATAAAATTTGCCAAATGATAAAAATGTAATAAATAATTCTAAAGATACCAAGCTTTTGGACTTAACTACAATTTTACACCAAAGGACATAATTATTTTCAAGTATGCACTGAGCTTTAGTTTTTCATAGGTCATACACTGAGAACTCATGGATAGCATCTGATTTGTAGATGAGTTATTTGGCTTATATGTTTTTTTTAGAAAAAATTTGACCCAATTTTTAAAATTCAGAAGATTTCACATAAAATCCAAATTTGATAGTTCTACCTGCAGCAATGGGCTTGAGCACAGTAGCAGCTTCCTCTTTCAGGAAGGGTATGGCACTCTTTCAACAGTTCCTATCCTACTTCCTTTCTCTGCATATATTCTAGGCTAGTTTCCTTAGACATTTGAATTTGTTACCACCAGTTATAACCTAACATTGTTCTGAGGGAGGTCTTCTCATTCTTAATAAAGCAGAACACAAAAAAGAGGCTACTAGTATCTATAAGAGCCAATATCATTTAATTTAATACTTAAAAAAATGCAAAAAAAAAGCATTTATTGTTATTATAGCATAGAAATAAATGCTACCTGCATACTGTTAAATGCTTTTTTTTGACAGAGCAGTAAGGCTTACCTTCAGATCAAGGCTGCTAAGGCTTACGACATCATCATCTTTTGCTCTTCGTTTTCTTTTCTGTAAGACAAAGAAAATCTCATTCTTATATAAAAGGAATGCATGTTACCCCATTAAACAAAGACTCCATACAACCAGAGAAATTACTTTAAAAAGTGAAGCCTTTGGCTATATTCAGAAGAATATTTTTTATGAGGAATGTTTATAAATTATCTCTACCATATATACTGTTTAAACAGTACTCCCGGACTAAATTATCTCTTGTGAAGTGATTCCACTCTATTAAAAAACTGATGTAAAATTTTTGAGAACAGTGCTCTTGTGTAAGTCAAGGGCTGTTTGTACTAGTTAGAGAAAAAGTAAGTATATTTTATACATAAAAGCAATTAAGTTTCTTTAAAAAAAATGAACACTTTTATTCTATGGGAGAAAGGAAGTCTTCACTAGAAAAAAATAGGCTTTTTTCATGGCCCCACATAATCACCCACTTTGAGAAGAAACTGGTGTGAGTAGAATCACAATTGAGCAAGACAGGGAAAAAGGGAACTAGGGAAAAAGAAAAAGTCCAGACAGAAGTGGGGAAAATATGTGGAGCCTGAAAGTCTCAGAAGCAAGCCATCATGAAAACAAGAGGGAGCTCCATGAAGTTAGAAAAACTATCTAAACCAAGTCTCTTTGTTAAAAGTTCAGGAAAGCTACATTCACATTAAAATGAACAGGTAATCCTCCAAGTCAAATCCTATACAAAATAACTCTAAGAAGAAAGAGAATAAGGGACAGAGTAACAATCCCACAGGGAATGAAGGAACCTTAGAAGAATATGTCCAAAGAAGCAGAGAAAAACTATAATGTACTACTTCAAATTTAGCTACAAGACATGAAGAAAATGACAGAGAAAACATGAAAGAACAATATAAATCAAAATTAGAAAAACTGCAAAATGAGGTGACAGAATTTAAGAAATCTTAATTAATCCTAAGGTCATATCCAGAAGATGCAGAAAAGTACGAATAATATGATCCTAACTTTGAAAAGCAAACTAAGCAAAAATCCTGCATATGTGTATCTTATTTGTGAGGCTGTTATTTGTAAATAAGTATATGAAAAAAATATTGAGGGATACATAACGGTTTTGTTGACATGGGTTAGAGTGGAAGTTGGGGGATAGAAAGATGAATACAGAGAGGAAAATGGGGGCACAAACTATTGCAAAAGGATTATACTGAGGGGGAAAAAAGCACATATTAGTATATAACCATACTTATGTACTTATATGAAACTGGAGGCCCAGTGCATGAAATTCATGCACTTGGGGGGTGGGAGTGGAAGAAGCCTTCAAGTGGGGGAAGTCTTCAGTCTGGATTGCGAGGGTGCAGGCCAGGGTGAGGGACCCCACTGGTGCATGATTGGGGCCAGGGACATGGGAGGTTGGCCAGCCGGGGAAGGACCGTGGGAGGGCTTCAGGGAGTGTCCACCCCGTCTCACTCAGTCTGAATCAGCTGGACCCTAGCAGCAAACAAACATACCGGTTGGAGTGTCTGCCCCCTGGTGGTCAGTGCATCTCATAGAGACTGGTCGACCGGTCAACTGTCTGCCCCCCTGGTGGTCAGTGCACATCATAGCAAGTGGTTGAGCGGACTTAGCATATCATTAGCATATTACACTTTGACCGGACAACTGGATGACCAGATACTTAGCATATTCGGCTTTTATTATATAGGATTGTATATGTATGTAGGCATATGTATATATATGAATATGTCCATATATCTATACATATACACATATACATATATATATATCCAGTCAGGACAGGATCAGGAGGAGGTTGTGCGTGTAGATGGGTGGGAGGTGATTGCTTGCGCTGTGAGGCAAGTGGGAGCAGAGAGACAGGGGGGTGTGCCCAAGCCGCCACCTCCAAGAGACAGCGCCCCAGCAGGCCCAGAAGCAGGAGTGGAGAGGAAGGAGGGCCTGCCCAGGCTGCTGCCACTGCCCGCTGGCCCCAGCAGGCCTGGTAGCAGGAGCCAAGAGGCGGGGGGGCGTGCCCAGGCCACTGCCGCCAGAAGACAGTGCCCCAGCAGGCCCGCCTCTGTGTGTGAGCTGTAGAGGAAGCACCCTTTCTTACAGCTCATTGGCTAAGTTCCTGGTACACCACTTGCAGTGTTCTTGATAACTTCGGTGATAAGAATCCAAGAAGGTGATTTAGAGTTTTTCTATCTCACTCCTGGAGGAAAAAACGAAGGTTCACTGCTGGAGGGGCTGAGAAATGTCATATCCTGCCCTAGCCAGTTTGGCTCAGTGGATAGAGCCTCGGCCTGTGGACCGCAGGGTCTGGTTTTGATTCCAATCAAGGACATGTACCTAGGTTGCAGGCTCTTCCCTGGCCAGGGCCCACGTCAGGGCTCATGCAGGAGGCAACCAATCGAAGTGTCCCTCTCACATTGATGTTTCTCTCTGTCTTTCCCTCTCTCTTCCACACTCTCTAAAAATCAATGAAAAAATACTGTTAGGTGAGGATTAAAAAAAGAAATGTCATATCCTATGAAAGAAAGATCTTGAAAATGCCTAGAGAAAGTTGTCATTTTTTTCTGGTGAAGGGACTAGAGTCTGTGTTGATGAAAACACCTTGGCAACTGGCAGTGCAGCAGCAGTGGGGTGATGGGGGTGGCGCCTTCCCCTGATCAGCCCGCAGAGGGATGCCAGACTGCGGTTTAGGCCTGCTCCCTGGGAGCGGGCCTAAGCCGTCAGTAGGACATCCCCTGAGGGCTCCCAGACTGTGAGAAGGGGCAGGCTGGGCTGAGGGACACCCCAATGCATGAATTTCATGCACCGGGCCTCTAGTATCTATATATAAAGAAATTTAACAGATTTTAAAACATCCTACTATATTTTCTTTACATTATTTTAAAGGTAAAATAATGTTTTCATATTTATATATTCAATCCATCTAGAATTTTACTTTTGTATGTGGTACAAGGTAATAACTAACATGTCAGTCCACTCCTGATACTATTCATTGATAGCACCATTTCTACATAATGCTTACGATATAGTAAGTTCTCAAATATACATAGGTCAGTTTTTGGGTTCTCTGTTTTGTTCCATCAGTTTATTTATCCATACCTGCACCCATATTATGCTGTGTAATTATAGTACCTTGGTAGTAATGCTTAATAACTAATACAGTAATTCATATGCTCCACAACTTATACACTACATTCACTGTTCTGGGTTTTCTATTTTTCCATGTGAACTGAGAATGACATCTGTTATACTCTAATGGGATTTCTATCAGAACTACACACTGAATTTATTAATTTGGAGAAGAATTGATGTTTTTTAAAAAAAATATATTTTATTGATTTTTTACAGAGAGGAACGGAGAGGGATAGAGAGTTAGAAACATCAATGAGAGAGAAACATCAATTAGCTGCCTCCTGCACACCCCCTACTGGGGATGTGCCCATAACCAAGGTACATGCCCTTGAACAGAATTAAACCTGGGACCCTTCAGACCACAGGCTGATGCTCTATCCACTGAGCCAAACCGGTTAGGGCAAGAATTGACATTTTTATGCTATTGAGTATTTCCTTGTCTGAATGTGGTATATCACCATGTAACTAAGTGTCCTATGTTCTTTACTAATGCTTTCCAATCTATATACATAAAAGGTTAATATGCAAAGTGTCCCTTTGGGAGTTCGACTGAGAGTTCAATCGCTTGCTATGATGTGCGTTGACCACCACGGGGCGGTGCAGAACGAAGATAGGCCCTGGCCGGCAGCCAGGGAAAAAAGGCCCTGGCCAGCAGCCAGAAGGTCCTGATTGGCCCAGATCACCAGCCAGGTCTAGGGACCCTACCATTGCATGAATTTTGTGCACCGGGCCTCTAGTATTTCCCATAAAGTCTTACAGATCTTAAAAAAAAAAAAGTCTTGAAGATCTTTTCATAGATTTATTCCTAGATTTTAAAATTGTTTTTATTATAATAAACTAGAGGCCTGTTGCACGAAGAGATTCGTGCAATAGGCCTTCCCTTTCCTTGGCTACTAGCACCAGCTTGCCTCTGGCACCTGGGACCCAGGACTTCGCTCTGGCCAGGCTCTGGCTGGAGCCAGCCCCGGGGCCGTCAGGCTTAGCTCTGCAGCTTGGAGCCTACATATGCAAATTAACCTCCATCTTTGTTGGGTTAATTTGCATACTCTCCTGATTGGCTGGTTAGCGTAGCGAAGGCACAGTCAATTTACATGTTTGTCTATTATTAGGTAAGATGCATCTTTAAAGTTACATTTAACTGTTTACTGCTAGTATATATACACTAGAGGCCCGGTGCATGAAAATTCGTGCACTTGGGTGGGTCTCTCAGCCCAGCCTGCAAGTTCTCACAATCCGGGACCCCTCGGGTAGGTTCCAGTCCCATCACAGCATGGCTCTGGTTGCCCAGAGCCTACGGGCTGGGTGTAAGGACCAAGAGGCCAGTCCGATGGCAGCATGGCCCTGCTTCCCCAGAGCCTGCGGACAGGGGTAGGGACCCAGAGGCCAGTCCAATGGCAGCATGGCTCCATTCCCACAGCTCCATTCCGCCACCGTGCCACGGGTGGCCGGGACCCAGGACCGACTCCCGCCGTGGGCAGCCGGGACCTGCCGGGGTCCAACCCCAGCGGGTCCAGGGGTCCCCAAAGGTGTGGACGGAGTCGGCGAAGAAGGAAGGACACGGAGACAGCGTTCAGTTGATCAGCAGCCTAGCCAGGATCTCTGGCCAGGATCTCCAGCCAAGTTCTGGTCTGGATCTCCAGCGAAGTTCTGCTGTTTATTGTTTTGTTACATCCGTATTTATACCAGTTGATTTTAATCCAGTCAATTTCTATTACAAAGGTTAGGGTGTTTCTTATCTCCATTCCAGGGAGTAAAGATTATGTAGCTTAAGCATGATTGTTTGTAGTGATTAACTACCCGCCTGGCACTTAGTTAAGGAGTTTCATCCCCTCCCTGACTTCAGGGAAAAATTCCTACCTGGGGAAACAACCTTTCTAGGAGAGGCATCCCCTCCCTGACTTCAG